CAGGTGCCCGACACGGGCGACCTGGGCGGCTGGCGCCTGCTGCGATTCAACGACGCGCGGCGCATTTGGCGACGAGCCTCAGGGGAGGCAGTGTTTGCAGCCGGGGCGATGACACGCAGCTCCCTGTCCGCGCATCTTTCCGACGGCAGACAATGTCAACGCTGATATAGCACATTCCGAGTTCGTGTTGACTGTGTGAAGTATGAAGACACCGGTGCGCGGTGCGTGGGAAAACACACAGAGACGGTGTGATCTCACTGGTCTGACACCAAAAGTGTGAGCTGCCTGAGGTGTGACGGACTGCGGGACGCCAGGTCATGCAAAGCGGCCTCTGAGTGTCACCGAAACGTGTACATCGGCATAAAAATGACCCTTCCGCTACCCGCACGCCGCCTCGCCGGCCACCCAGGCCGGGTCATAACACGTGGGGAGGAGGGAGGAAGGGTCACAAGGCGACACACCGACGTACTGACCGACACACTACGCCTCCGGGTCGCCGGCCGGACGCACGCGTGCCACCACAATCCGCACCATCGCGGCAATAACCGAGTCCTTCTCGGGACTATAGTCCTCTCCCAGATGCTCCAGCTTGATCCCGCGGCGCACCAGCTTGGAGCGTCCCGGCCCGTCGCCAAACAGCCGCTCCGCGCGCCGCTCGGTCGGAATGGAGGCCACGCCATCGCCGCGCCGCAACGCGTTGGTGATGAGGAGGTGGTACGCGACGGACAGAGCCATCGTCGTCGCCCGCTCCGCCACGCCGCACAACCGCGACGGCCCCTGCGCGCCCGCCTTCGTCGGCCCGCGCTGCGCCTGCCCCGCCCCGATGGTCTCCAAGTTGGTCGCGCCGTTGCTCTTTGCCCTCCTCTTGGCCTCCGCGTTCAGCAGCTCGAGCGGGCCGGTGTCGAAGGCCTCGACATCGCCGACCTCGAGGATGGACTCGGTGATCTTGAAGATGGCGCCGTGCGGCATGTACGAGCCGTGGTTGTACAGCGAGACCCGCTCGTAGATCTCGTGCATGTCCACGGCCAGCTGCATGTTCTCGAGCGCGCGCGCCTCCTTGACCGCCTTGTCCGCGTTGATCGGCACGCGACGCTTCCAAGCGTAGTACCACGCGAAGTAGGCGTCGAAAGCGAGGGCGGCGCGGATGGCGGTCTCGGCGCGCGAGCCGTACATCTCGCGCAGCAGCTCCAGGTGCGCCGTGTCGGCCTCGCGCTCGACGCGGGAGGGCTGGCGGGTCAGCTCGGCGTCGGCTGGCTCGGGCGGGGCGGGGGCGGGAGCAGCCGCAGCCGTCTTGGCCTTGCGCGCCTTCTTACCCTTCGTCGCCTTGGGCGCAGCGGCGGGGGCGGCGGCGGCGGGGGCGGGCGTCGCAGCGGCCGTCTCGCTCCCCGCGTTTACTCCGCGGTCCTGCAGGTCGTCGAGCATGATGACGAGGAAGGTCGCGATCGCCACCTGTGGACTGAGCTGCCGCTATACTCCTACTTGACTCCGCTGCCGCTACTCTTACTTGACTCCGCTGCCGCTACTCTTACTTAACTCCGCTGCCGCTACTTACTGCGCTGCCGCTACTTTAGCTCCCGCATGCTCTCGCTCGATCTATCCGATTAATCCGATCCTCCGAAAAGCGACGATTTTTCCCATTTTCACTTCCCTGAGATGCACTCGTAGCTCCCCGGCTTGAGGTAAGGTGCGCCGGTAGGCGCTGTCTCCGGTTACCCAGATGTCACTGTCATCGCCGGGGGCAGGCGAGCGCGGCAGCGCGCGCGGCAGCGCTGCCGGCAGGCATGTCCCTAGGAGTTACGGTGCGCCGGTAGGCGCTGTCTAGGTTACCTAGATGTTACGGTCATCGCCGGGGGCAGGCGAGCGCGTACTCTCTGTCTCTAGACAGGCGAGACGCGGCAACGCCGCGGCGAGCTCGTTTAGGAGCGAGGCGCAAGCCGAGTTCGTTTTAGAGCGAGCGCAGCGAGCCGGTAGAGAGAGGGGGGGAGGGTTAGTTACGAGCGCAGCGAGCCTGATAGAAAGCCCCGCGGCAAAAAGGTTAGGGTTAGGGTTAGGGTTAGGGTTAGGGTTAGGGTTAGGGTTAGGGTTAGGGTTAGGGTTAGGGTTAGGGTTAGGGTTAGGGTTAGGGTTAGGGTTAGGGTTAGGGTTAGGGTTAGGGTTAGGGTTAGGGTTAGGGTTAGGGTTAGGGTTAGGGTTAGGGTTAGGGTTAGGGTTAGGGTTAGGGTTAGGTTAAGGGTTAGGTTTAGGGGTTAGGGTTAGGGTTAGGGTTAGGGTTAGGGTTAGGGTTAGGGTAAGGGTTAGGGTTAGGGTTAGGGTTGGGGTTAGGGTTAGGGTTAGGGTTAGGGTTAGGGTTAGGGTTAGGGTTAGGGTTAGGGTTAGGGTTAGGGTTAGGGTTAGGGTTAGGGTTAGGGTTAGGGTTAGGGTTAGGGTTAGGGTTAGGGTTAGGGTTAGGGTTAGGGTTAGGGTTAGGGTTAGGGTTAGGGTTAGGGTTAGGGTTAGGGTTAGGGTTAGGGTTAGGGTTAGGGTTAGGGTTAGGGTTAGGGTTAGGGTTAGGGTTAGGGTTAGGGTTAGGGTTAGGGTTAGGGTTAGGGTTAGGGTTAGGGTTAGGGTTAGGGTTAGGGTTAGGGTTAGGGTTAGGGTTAGGGTTAGGGTTAGGGTTAGGGTTAGGGTTAGGGTTAGGGTTAGGGTTAGGGTTAGGGTTAGGGTTAGGGTTAGGGTTAGGGTTAGGGTTAGGGTTAGGGTTAGGGTCACGGGTTAGGGTTAGGGTTAGGGTTAGGGTTAGGGTTAGGGTTACCGGTTAGGGTTAGGGTTACGGCCAGGGTCCGGGTTAGGGTTAGGGTTAGGGTTAGGGTTAGGGTTAGGGTTAGGGTTAGGGTTACCGTTAGGGTTAGGGTTAGGGTTAGGGTTAGCGCGAGGGTTAGGGTTAGGGTTAGGGTTAGGG